TGTCTTGTTTTGTTTCGTTAAGTCTCTCTGTGTTTCGCGATGTCTCGCTGTGTTTCGCTGTATCTCGACGTGTCTCACTGTGTCTCATTGTGTCTCGCTGTGTCTCGCTGTGTCTGACTGTGTCTTCTCGTTTACTCGGTCTCTTTCTCCCCTTTCTTCTCTTTCATCTCTATTTATTGAATTTAGTTCGTCTCTACATATCTGTTTCGATTCGCTCGTGGTCTTTCCTTTTTCATATTTTCTGCCCATTCTCTCTTTGTCTCTCTCCCTCTCACTCACCCTCTCTCTCTCTCTCTCTCTTTTTCTCTCTCTATCTCTCCGTTCTTTTCATGTATCTCTTTTATCTTCCTGTTCTCTAACCCGGTTTTTTCTGCTACATATTTCTAATTTCTTTTGATCGCTTCCCCTATCTCCACCTCCTCTGCATCTAGTTTTCTTACCCTTCCCACTTCCCCTCTTTCCTCCTTCCCTTTCTCTGCACCCTATCCTTTCATTCTTCTCCTTTCCCGGCTCTCTCCCTCCTCCAGTCCTTTCCATTTCATTTCATCGCTCGCCTCATTCATCTTTTTTTTCTGTACCCTCCGTTTCTTCGTTCCTTCGTTTGCTTCCTCTCTCCCTCTTTCTTTCTTGCTATATAGCTCGCGCTCTCCCGTACTCACCCTCTCTCTCTCTCTGTGTCTGCGTCTCTCTATCTATCTATATATCTCTCACTCCCTTTCCCTCCTTCTCTCTGTCTTTCTCGCGCGCGCTTTCTCTCTTACTCTCTCTTTCTCTTTCTCTTTCTCTTCTCCCTCTCTCTGCCCCCTCTCTATTGCTCTCTCTCTCTCTCTCTCTCTCTCTCTCTCTCTCTCTCTTTCTCTTACTTTCTTTCTCTATTTCTGTAATGATCAAGTCGCTGTGTGGCCATCCCGTGCATGCGATCGGCGGGTCGATAGCTCCATTAGACGGACACCTGTTCCGCTGATTAGCCGTCGCAGCTTCTTGTAGAGCTTCAGCTTCTTCCGCCGCGAAGCCCACCGCGTGAGAAACCCTAGTATCGCAATGCGTCAGCGTCCCCGTCCTTGGCGGAGAGTCGTCGATACATGTCTCGCGAATATAAAGGGGAATGTTAGTACGGAGGGAGACTGCGCTGTGTGAGTATAGTGTGCGATGTGAAACTGTGAATGTGTAATCAGAGCTCGGCTAGCGACGTCGTGGGCGGCTGTTGTCGTCGTCGGCTAGTGTTGTCGGCTGGTGTTATCGTCGGCTAGCGACATTGTCGGCTGGCGACATCGTCGTCGGCTGGCATCATCGTCATCGGCTAGCGTTATCGGCATGAAACGTTTCAATTTCTTGTATAGAGAAGAAACAGAGAGATAGAGAGAGCGAGGGCAAAACCGCAAAGCAGAGAGAAATCGCACGAGGAGAAATAGTGCGAGAGAGAGGTGGTGAAGAGAGCGAGAAAGAGGGAGGGAGAGATAGAGAGAGAGAGAGAGAGAAAGGGGAGAGAGAGAACGAGAGAGAGAGAGAGAGAAAAAAGAGAACGAGAGAGAGAGAAAAAGAAGAAGAGGGGGTAGAGTGAAAGAGAGAGAGAGAGCGGGAGAGAACAAGAAAGAGAAAGGGGGAGAGAGTGTATGTACGGCTGCATCAGTAACGTATGTACGGCTGCAACGTTGACGTATGTACGGCTGCATCAGTAACGTATATACGGCTGCAACGTTGACGTATGTACGGCTGCATCAGTAACGTATGTACGGCTGCAACGTTGACGTATGTACGGCTGCATTTGAGCTACATTACTAACGTAGCTATACCGCATTAATCTTTCGCAGAGAGCTTATGGCGGCTCTGTTGCGTTTCTACAGCGACTGTAAAGCTATGGTGCCACCTAAAGCTATCAGCTTGTTCACCCAGCAACGCGCGCCTATTATCAATCTACATGTCGGCCAATACATGTCGGGCGCATGCGCTGTGAGCAGCTACTCTTGGCAAAAGCCAGATCTACGCATCAAAGCGCCTAGCGTTTACGTACAACACCGCCGATAAAAAATTTGAGCAAAGTGTTAATGCAGACGGCGGCGTTTTTCGCTCGCCCGTCTCAAGAAAGCAGCGATTTTACAACGATAAAAACGCGCCGGCAGTGTAGGTGTTTTTATCGAGCGCGTATCTTTTATTCGCAATTGTTTGTTTACGTATTTTTCTCGCTTTCTCTCTTCGCCTGGTTCCCCCTTCGCTCGCGCGGAAACTGACGCATTCATTCCTCTACTAAATGTTCTTGCATCGAAACATTTGCGCGTTTCAGTTCTAATCGAAATGTAAATAGATGCTTGTTATGATCGACCAGGTGATTTCACTTTAACGTTGTCGGCAGTACGTGCACATGTGCAGTGGCATTTGCCTACAGTGGCAGCAGTATACCGGAAGTCTTCCCGAACCGAGGGATCCCGTCCGTATAGATTTGTCCGGTATACAGTCGCAGTGTCATCCACCTCCTGTGTGTCAGGGCAGTGCGCGTAGTCGAGTGGGAAACATTTGCTCAGAGAGCGCGAACAGTCAAATCCCATTTAACATTAAAGAAAAACGTTGCACGTTTTATTTCTGCCGCTCTTTCGGATCGATGTGAAACACGGCCATCGCGGCCACGCTTGACGTCACACCCGTGACGTAGGCACGGACGAGCTTCGCGTGATGGCTGCCAGAGGGCGTATTCATCGATTTAATGATGTGCTTCTCTCTCTCTCTCTCTGCCTCCTCTTTTCTCTCTCTCTCTCTCCCATTCTTCCCCTCACTCTCATTCGCTCTGTCTCTCTTTTCTATCTCTCTCGCTCTCTCTATCTCTCTGTCTCTGTCTCTCTTTCTCTCTCTCTCTCTCTCTCTCTCTCTCTCTCTCTCTCTCTCTCTTTCTCTCTCTCTCTCTC